GAATGTGAACGGCTCCTGCGTGAAAACCCCCTACTCACCTGGGCCCCGGCTGCTTCTCTATGTGGTGTTTGGCTTAGGGGCTGTACTGGCTGTGTTAGGAAACCTCCTGGTCATGACTTCCATCCTCCATTTCAAGCAGCTGCACTCACCAACCAATTTCCTCCTCGCCTCTCTGGCCTGCGCTGACTTCTTGGTGGGAGTCGCTGTGATGCCCTTCAGCATGGTCAGGTCGGTGGAGAGCTGCTGGTACTTCGGGAGGAGTTTCTGCACTTTCCACACATGCTGTGATGTGGCCTTCTGCTACTCTTCTCTCTTCCACCTGTGCTTCATCTCCGTGGACAGGTACATGGCTGTTACTGACCCCCTGGTCTACCCCACCAAGTTCACGGTGTCTGTGTCAGGCATTTGCATTGGTGTCTCCTGGATCCTGCCCCTGGTGTACAGCGCTTCCGTGTTCTACACAGGTGTCTATGACAATGGGCTGGAGGAACTATCCAGTGCCCTCAACTGCATAGGAGGTTGTCAGGTAGTTGTAAATCAAAACTGGGTGTTGATCGATTTTCTATCCTTCTTCATACCTACCCTTATTATGATAATTCTATACAGTAATATTTTTCTTGTGGCTAGACAACAGGCTAAAAAGATTGAACATACTGGTAGCAAAGGAGAATCGTCCTCTGAAAGTTACAAAGCCAGAGTGGCCAAGAGAGAGAGAAAAGCAGCCAAAACCCTGGGAGTCACGGTGGTAGCATTTATGATCTCCTGGTTACCATACAGCATTGATTCATTAATTGATGTTTTCATGGGCTTCATCACTCCCGCCTACACCTATGAGATTTGTGCTTGGTGTGCTTATTATAACTCAGCCATGAATCCTTTGATTTATGCTTTATTTTACCCATGGTTTAAGAAAGCTATTAGAGTTATTCTTAGTGGTCAGGTTTTCAAGAATAGTTCAGCAACCATGAGTTTATTCTCTGAATAAATGTAATCAATTGAGTTGAGGAAGTTGATGATATCTCTAAAAGTTCCAAATGAAGTGAATTGTTTTAATAATCCAGGAAGAATAATAAGGAGGACCAACATGGAAAACTAAACTGTTCTTCAAATTAGATAGGATAAATCAGTTTTTTCAGTCTTACACTTTACGCTTTGCTATCTCTCCTCCAAAAGTATTAACTAGAGGAATAAATATTAAATTCTCATTTCATTGCTTCATATCTTTGGATACTCCACCCCCTGCAGACATTTCCTTTTCTAATCCTCTGACCTTCCCTTTGTTCTGGTCTGTTCCTTGAAAATATCTTTGTTCTCCATTGATCTCCTTTCCTCTTTTCCTTACAAACTTTGTAGCCTACTAAGACTTTCATGTATGACTGTCCTTCACTGGGTTACTTGCTTTTGGCTTTATGCCAAGTGAAATAAATCGGGCACAGAAGGTTAAATATTGTAGAGTTTCTCCAATTTGAGAAACTCAAAATATAAATAATTTAAAGAGCAAAAAGTGAAAGAGGGATGGTAGGAAACAGGAAGGTGAATTTGATATGGAAAGGGGATCTGGAGAAGGAGGCAGAGGGCCTGAAAGGGGAGGTAGATTTCAAAAAGATCAAGATGTAATATGCATATGTACCAATTCCCAAGATGAATGAAATTATTATGTATCACAAACATTCCTAATAAAAAATAAATACATGGTAGCAGGTTAATCAATTCAGTGTTGTGGGATGTCTCAGGGTGTTTTGATGGCATCTTGATATCATGTTGACCAAGCTGTTATAACTGTGCAAAAGCGACTGTATTTCTGTGTCGCCATTTCCCCCCATAAGGCAGGAGGCAGAATCCACGCAACTTCCCAGAATGACCTTATGTGATTATGTGACTGCTTTTCTTGCGACTGCTGGAAACTAAATAGCTGCTATGGATAGAACCCTGTGTTACACTGTTCTGCTCAGGAGTAATGAATATTACTTGCTCATTTAGGGGAAATCTCTTTCAAGCGGAGTCTGTAGTTTTTTCTGTAAAAAATGCTTAATTAGAAGAAAGAAATCATAATTTTTAGGACCAGACATGAGCTTCATACCTTCATTGCATAGAAATCAATACTCAATACTGTGCACATAGGTGGTAACACCCTATCGTTAATAAGCTGTGACACTGGCAAAAAGCAATACTGGTGATTGTGGAAAGTTTTCTTAAAGGACAGATGCTAGTTTCAGCAGGTGAGTAAGGTTAACATCAATAGTAAAACATGTCCTGGTCATTATATAATAGTGGCTGTTTAATCCCCTTCCTGGCAACCACAAAAGCAGAATAATCATGGAAAAATATCAGATAAATCCTGACTATGAACTGTTCGGAAGTCCTGGCTACTGCTCCTCAAAACTGCCAAGATCATAAAAAGTAAGAAGGGAATGAGACAACATCCCAGTACCGAGGATCCTGAGGAAATATGCCAACTAAACATATGATGTCCTCATAGCAAGGGTGGAACAGAAAAAAGGGCTTTCAGGAAAATGAGGAAAGGTGAGTGATGAGCATTGTTAATTGCTATAAATGCACCTTGCTAAATAAGATGATGATAATAGAAGCAACTGTGAGTGGTGTATACGCACCTGAGCATTATTGCTGCCTCTTTCCTGTAAATCTAAAACTATACTAAAATTAAAAATGATATAAAAAATATGAGGTGCTCAATTCCTGTGTGATGAACTTTCCAATTCTCCTGGGTGAGGACAACAAGGCACACACCCTTATAGTCACATGTTTACCGTTCCACAAATGTCTTTGGAGAATTAGTGTGTACCAAGTTATACACTCAGTATGATCAGAAGTACAAAGAAAAAAAACTTAGGTTGTCTTGCGGGGAAAAACAAGATGCTAATAATTGCGTCTTGTAATTTATGAGTTCCATCCTAGAGATTCAGTTGAGGAGGCCAGAGAAAGGAGGATTCGCGTGTGGATGGATGATCTGGTAGACACGTGCAATAAGAAATAGCGTTGAAGTTAGACCATAAGTTATGAGACAGCTTTTTGTAGGAGGGGAAGGATGGGAAGGGATTTCTCCAGCTAAGGGAATAGCATGGGCAAAGAAACTGAGACAGTACACAGAGTGTTCAGAGAACACAGAGATAAAATAACTTATACCCACCAAAGATTACCTGTTAAATCCCCCTGACGTTGACATTCAAACCCCTCCTCACCTCTCGTTGGAGAACTGCGAGTCTTACTTTCACCCTCTGCTCAGGTTTTCATTCCTACAATTCTCACGGACTTCTAAATCCCCATGTCCCAAATGTGGTTTTATAGAACTGTCATCATATAAAGTTGTTCCATGGAGAAAGATTTCTTTTTCAACAGTGATATAGAACGGTTGCATGCTATGTACTGCTGTCAGAGAATGCCACTATACATTAGCATATTAAAGACTCAGAGAAGTCCTGTTTGAACACACTTCTGTCCAACCTTGTTAAGATATCCTTTCTAAAATTTTATTTAACCATGAAGATGTCTTGGAGGTGAGAGACTGAATAGCAGAATTATTGTCCCAGGAAAATATTTAGGGAATACTTGGTTTATATCATGAAAAGTATTCTTTTTATCATATTGGTTCCTTGGTCTTTCTACCTAAAATCTACAAGTTCATTGTGCTTTTCTAAAGAGTAGAGCCGGTTTTCTAAGGCATGGCATAATATTGAGTAGATGCTCATGTGCTTGGAGTCAATTATGACATAGGAGACAAATTATGTGTATGTAACATGTGATAGTGGTAGGACTTTGGAGGAGAGAGAGGATGCGATGTGCTGCGGACCTGCAAAGGTTCTACGGAGTGTGCAGAGTATAACCTGAGCAGGGATAACTTGTTTAAACAGAAAATAAGAAGAAAAGGAATGCTGACTCACAGTAAATATTTTGTAAAATGTATGAAGTGCAGTAAATGCACATCAAATGCAGTAAAGCATGCAGAGAAAATGGTCAAAGACCAGTAGGCCTAAAGCAGAGCATATGGGTAGGAGAGCCAAAAGCAATCAATCAATCAAGATATTGATTTAGACCTCTAACTGCTCAATGTGGCAGGCTTAGTGTTGTAGCCATCAGCAACGTGTAGTTACTGGGCACTTGAAAGATGTCCATCTGAATCAAGGTATGCTACATGTACAAAGCACACACAAAATTACAAAGACTCACTACAAACAAAGAAAAGAAGACCTTAAGTTGCATGTTGAAATTATCAGCGTTTAATATAGTATTGAGTTAAAATATATGATTTAAACTAATTTCTCTTTTTACTTTTTCAAATTTGGCTACTAGAAAAAGTTTTAAATTATCTCTGTGCTTCATATTTCTATAGGACAACACTGCTGTGTAAAAATAAAAATGAACTGTAAATCCCCATTCTGGCCCATCAGTGCTTCAAATTTAGGACTCTAACCCTCAAAGTCAGAAACAAGTAAAAATATATGAGCTATGATAAAAGTTAAATAATATTTACTTAGCAACTGATGTATTAAAACACACACATGAAACTCCTATTGATCTTGTATTCTCATTTCATGGATAAGGAAACTGTCTTAAGGAATCATAGTAACTTGTGTGAGGTTATATAGCTTATTTAAAAAAAAAACTCTTTGCCACACCTCGAACTCAGATCATCTGAATTTGAAGCCCAGATTTATTTCTCTACATGGAAACGAGAGTCAGGACAAACAAGAGGGGACATCACAAGGGAGTACAGTTGAATAAACACTAGCTGTAAGAAGACAGTGTTTAGGTTTATCCTGCAAGGCAGTGCATCAGAAAGTTCTCATCATTACGTGCTCACAATATTTAGCAAGCTATTCTTGGGGTTCTCAAATTTCAAGGCCAGTTACAGGTCATGGATACACTTTCCCAAGTCAAACAGGTTAGAGTTGGTGGAAGTGAAAAACACCTACTACCTCTGGCCCAACACAAGGTTTATTTCTTGAATGTGTGCAATCCGGTATGAATCTGGCTAAAGATCATTAGCTCAACATCAGGGACTTGGGAATGCAGGCTGCTTTGACTTCATGGCTCCACCTTTTCAGCAAGGAATCTTTTCTATGCTTCACCCTGAAAGGACACAAGGACACGTTACCAGAACGTCCTATTAGCCAGAAGCCCGGCAGACAGGCCGACCTAGTGGCCGGGAAACTTAGGGGCGAAAGAACTTTAGGGTGGGATGGGGTGGCGCGGGGTGGGTTTCTTCCCGCCACACAATGCTTCAGCGGATGGAAAGGCACACCGTGTTAAGGAAGTCTCTCAGGATTTGGTTGAGCCAGAAACTGCCTTAATCACATTAGAGTTCGCTTCGCTGAAGTAACAATGGCTTCAGGGTGGTGACTGGAATATGTGAGAGTCCAAGGGCTGAGTCCCCGGGTCTGTCCTTTTTTAAAAAATTTCATTTCATTTTATTTTATTATTACACGTTTGTAATTCAGTCATCTTGGGAGGCGGTTACTGCTTCTTTCTGTCTTCCTTCCCCCCACTCCCCGGCCTCCTTCTCCGCATCTCCAGTCACTTTTCTTCGTACCTGCTGATCTGCTGGTGCTATTTGTCTTACGGGTTATACTGCCTCCATTCATCAAGGTTATTAGGCTCCTGCACATGGCACACCTTTCTTCCTTCCATTTCCCCTCTGCCTCCCGTCACCTCTGCCTGGTGTGTCTTCAACGGTCCCAAAATAAAGCCTAGAGCTTCAGCCAAGTCACACATGTTCCCGGACACAGGGAGGAACGAATTCCAGGCAGAGAGGAATTTCTACCAAACTGCTTCAGCTTCACGATGAAGGGAAGGTTCTGATGCTGTGGAGGAAGAGGAAATGGGTACCAGGTGAGAAATAAGCTTTCCTGTCACATGAAGTAATTTTGAAAATGAAATCTAAAAAGAGAAAATGAAACTTCTTGCCAAATTGCTCAAAGGGGCTTTCTTTACCAATCCACAGGACAGTAAACTGAGGAGAAGAGGATGGGGAAAGAATAGCCAGCTTTCTCAATGACCTCTCTGCCACTTTCTTCTTCATCCTCTCCTTTAGTATTTTTGCATTTTCAGCCAATAAACATTTATCACTATATGATATATAGAAAATGTTGCATTAGCAAATGGAGAAGACATGATAGTAAATGAGACCCAGCCACTTCAATAGAGTTTCTGATATTCCCCAAAAGGGTGTGGTGACAAGCGTCGCCTGCCAGACATGCTTACCACTGGACAAAGACATGCTGCTGGAGCTCACACAGGACTCGGCACTAGGGACAGACTCACAGAGCTTCTCAATGGCCTGCTCATTCAGAGACAAGTGGCAGACGAGTAGCTAGAAATATGTAGTCAACCTAGGCCTACCCGAGAATGACTAACATCTCACTGGAGTGGTACCAGTTCACCCAGTAGCAGGTAGAACCAAGCATGTAGCTGATTTAAAAATTCTGATCATTAATTCCTTATTTTCTAACTTGGCCCCTTTTCGATGGTCATCAGCAAAAGGTTAAGTTGTATTTCTCAAAAATAAAGATGAAATAATATTCTCCAAGGCAAATATACAGTATCATAAATATGAGTTTATATACCATTTAATGCATATGATATTAATTTGAAGCAGGAAATTAAAAAATAAATTTTTTATCTTCTCTTCCCCTCAAAAACTCTTACAAGACAGGCTATCCTCTACCAGATGGTCAGATGCAGAGCCAGGGCACGGACAGCAGAAGAGGCTGTGGTTAATTCTATTTTTTTTTCAATTTTTTTTTTCTTTTTTTTTTGGTACCGGGGATCGAACTTGGGTCCTTGCGCTTGCACAGCAGGCAGCGAAAGCACTGAGCTAAATCTCTGGCCCGTTAATTCTATTTTTTAAACACACGTGTATATTTATATGTTTGTGATACACAATAATATTATTCATCTTGGAGACCAGTACAGGTACATATTGCGTCTTAATCATTTTACTCCCACACCCCGATTTCGAGGCTGTGGTTAACTTTAGCACAGCAGCACACACCAAAAATGACCTGTACCTCATACCTGGCTCTGGCATCAGGACTCGGTCTCCATGGTCTGTGATGAGCTCATAATTCAAAGCACGGAGCTTGATTCCCATGGTGACTGCGATCAGACTCTACGCTGCTTTTATGGCCCGCGAGGCCAAGCAGCCCCAGCCCTGCCAACCTAACCACGTCCTTTCTTTCTCCCGGCCTCCTGATGCTCCAGTCACTTTCCCTCCCTGTCAGCCCCTCGGCCACCCCCGTGGGTGGCCTTGGGAGACCGCACCGGCCATGCCTTCCACCTTGTCGCTTGTTTCTCAGTCTTCACGGGGCTGCCGCTGGTTATCCTGTGGGGCTGAACTTGCACTTCCTTCCCTGAGGAAAAGCTCTGTCGCGCCTCATGTTGGCCTCTCTTTTATTCTTCTATTTACCTTAGTTTTCCTCCTTTCTTTGACTGTGTTTATCAGAATGAGTTACAATTTTATCTGTTTATTTACTTGTGCTTTATCTGTTTCTGCCAATGACTATGTTCTCTCCATTAGGATTCATTCAATAGGGGCCGGGGATTTACCTCAGTGATTCCACTGCCTGCCTTGGAAGTGCAAGGTCCCGACTTTGATCCCCAGCACCAAAAACAACAACAACAACAAAACTACATATTTGTTGTAGGATTCATTC